GGTATAGTATATCGGTGCACACAAGAAGTACACTTTTGTTAAAAGTTCCATCAGGATAAGGATCAGATGAATGTAATGAAACATAGCCGAGACAGGATGGATAACAGCAGAACATAATTTAGGTTCTTGCAAACATACACAAACAGGGGGAAAACTGGGAGAGCAACACCTGAAGCTTACCACGATTACAGCTGAAGGCTCGGATATTCCACTGTAAATAAGCCATAATTTGTGAGAAAAGTATATCAGTAATATGAATTATTATTATTATTTTTATTATAATCAAAAGGAAGCACTAAACCACAAGGGCTATACAGCGCTGCTCAGTAATATGAAGCAGTAGGTGTCTACAGATTAGTAGGGGTATGAAAATCTATGTGTGGCAGTAGGGAAAAATGAGTAAGCAGCGAAGGACTGGAACACTGCGAAGAAAAGTGTTGTGCAGATGGTTTAGATGAGTGAGAAGAAGAGATGCGAGGTAGATCAGTGTCCATCAATGGTTTTGTCTCCTCAGTATATTTGGAGATAGCTTCAAGTGTTTTAGAGGACAAGAAGTTGCATGTAATACGACATCAGAGGTAGAAGCGGAAGGGTGAGTAAAGATCGGAGAGGTGATGGAAGATACCAAAGAAATGGGGGGGGGGTGAGAGGGTAGAGTGAACTTGGAAAGAAACTTGGGAGGAGACAGGAGAGGAGAGGTAAAGGAGGAGGTAAAGAACTAGGTACAGAAACTGGAAAGGAAAAATGTTTGGAAAGGCTATGTGAAGAGGGGTAAAAGGTGGTTTGAACTTTGTGGATGGTTTAAACTTCAAAGAAGTAGAGAGATGAGGATAAGGTGTAGTTGTGGGATCTTGTAGACATAGAGACATGCGAGCGGGAAGATGAAGATTCAAGAACAGTATTAGGCATGGAGGTAGGGACCTCGGAGGTGAGGACTGTAAAAGAGTTAGAGACAGAGGTGACTGAGGAAGTTGTGATACTAGAGACAATGGAAGTTGGTACTACCGAGGTTGGAGGTCTCTTAGTAACTCCAGAATAAGAAAGTCGTGGAAGTCTCCCCTGGAAGCGAAGATGAGACTGTCATGGCATATGTGAAACCTTTCTCTTTGAGACAACGAATTTCTCTTTCTTTTACATAAACTTCACAATGGCGAGAAAAAGCCTGATTAATCTCATTACAATTAAAGCAAGAGGGATTCAGGTTCCAGGATGTAATTGTATGGTCGTCAGCACCACAGACTGGGCACTCAGTCATGGACCTGCAATATTCTGCTGGGTGGCCAAAGTGCCAGCAATTTCTGCATTGTTGTGGTGTAGGGATCAACTCTCAGACTTGGAGACAGTGTCCAGCAATATAAACAGAGGACGGAAGCTCACAACAGTCAAAAGTTAAGTGAGCTACATTGCAGGGGTAGCGACTCTGCCCGCGGGCAGGTAGTATATACGTGTTTACTTTGAGAATTGGGAGGTCTTGAAGCTCAAGTTGTTCTAGAATGTCATCACCACATGTCGGGAAGTTATGTTGAACAATGGTATGAGGTAGAATGACGGTACCAATACAAGAATTGAGAGAATGGTGTTTTTGAATTGTTACAGAGATAGCACCTACAGTGGTAAGGCAATATTGTGGGCTTGGATAGCATTGTGACGATGCATGCACCGCTCTTGAGAGCATGCAATGAAATATTTCGACCAACATGGCGTAGGAGCGCCTTGCCGATGCTATGATCTGAAAGACAGTCAGCAGATATCAGTTGTAGAGTAAAAAATTTAGTGATCCATTGTGTACTCTGAAACGTAGTGTGTAGGGATGCGAGTGTTGTGCCGGTCTTTTCTGGGCAGAATGAGAAGTAATAGAAGTGTCCTCAGTTAATGGTCTTGGTCGTTTAGGTGTGGGACTGGAGTGTCAGACTTGAGATGGGCCGGCCATCCAAGAATCGTCACATTGTAGATGGAGAAGCTGGAAGCCTGGTCAAAGAAGTGCGGAGGTCGGAAGTATCGGAGTCAGGTGGAACCTTGGCACCTGGAGCTGGTGACGAAATGACATCAGCAGAAGGTACAGGGGAATTAGAAAGGTCCGAAGAATGGTCAAATAACGAGACAGGGCCGGAAGAGGGTGTGGTAGCAGAACGGGGCCCGAGAGGAGCTTGGTCATAGACTTAGGATTCCATGGATATGTCAATTCTTTCTTTTTGTTTTTTAGAAAACAAAAGAAAAATAGAATAAAAAAGGGGGGAAGGTGGAGGAATGAAATGGCCGTAAATACCCCTCCGTGCCCAAGAGGACCCCAGCACCACCAGTAGTGCAGATGCAGCATGGAACCCATGCCATACCCTACCCTTCATGCTAGTAAACCAGTAATCTTGGATAACAACCTTACATCTACTGAATCACCTTGGTGGGCAAGAGAGAGGGCCGCCGGATAACCGCCACAAAGCATTTCTCCTTTGGCCATCACCTCCCAGAATCCGACAGGCAGCCTCCAGAAATACACCCATCACCCGAAAGACACCCAAAGCCGCCCCCCGGGAACTGGAGAGGGAATGGGACATCCCCAGTTGATCCAGATTCTATGGCAAACTACACCACCACCAAGGACCTCAGTGGGATGGGTTGGACCATGGTACTCTTCCCCCTACCTAGGAACTAGAATGCCTAAGAGAACCCCAATGGTTGAAAACAGGAAGGGGATAGGGAAGGGATGAGGAGAGGAGGAAGAGTAGGGGAGGGATGGGGAGGATGAGATAGGGAAGGAGGATTGGGGGGTAATTAGGTTCGGTCTGAGGAAGAAGACCAAAAGGTCCAATTCCTCAGACCAATAGCCTCTTTACCACGACAAGGAGCCCCCCTTAAAGAGGTTGAGAAGATTAAGCCAGGCTTCGAGCACTTGTTATTGTACAGCAATAAAGGAATGGAACCGATTGCCTGCACATGTCAAAGCCAGTCATAGCACGAACCAGTTCAAGAAGAGAGCCAAAAGGTGCCTAATGAATGTAGCGACAGAAAGAGAGAATGATTTTTTATTTTTTTAGCTAACATACACGTAAATGTAAATAACTTATTTTACCTTATTCCTAGCATATCTCCTCCATAGCATAATAAGATATTATCTCCTTCAGAGTATAATAATAAGGTATTAAACGGACCCCAATGGAAATAAGTCACTCTGACTTTTAGGGTTATACTAGTTTCTCTATACATATGCTGCTATGTATGATAATCTATTTAACTGTATTTGTGTATACCTGAATGAACTTACTTGTAAGTACAGTATATATAAGTAGATTTGGCATATTGCATATGACCTAATGCTCAAAAATAAGTCATAATAAACAGTCGTTTATTACGACTCATATTGAGTTTATAGACTATATGGTATTGAGGAGTGTGAGAATAGAGTTTACCCTGAAGTTCTGTTTCCATAATTTTCCCTTTCAAAGCCTTTTAGGTTAATATTAAAGTGTTGGATCTTCTACGCACCAGAGCAACGGTTTAACCCTTAAACTGTCCAAGCAGATCTACGTACACATGTGTAGTGCTCCAAAAGTAGATCTACGTTTTTATAATATATATATATATATATTATAATATAATTTATCTAGATATAAATATATATTTATAAATAATATATATATATATATATATATATATATATATATATATATATATAATATATATATATATATATATATATTCAAATATAACAAAAAAAAAACGTAGATCAAAGTTTTTTTACACTTTTTCAAATGTAAAAAAAAAAAGATCTACTTTTTTACATACTTTTAAATGTTGAAAAAACGTAGATCTACGTTTGGACAGTTTAAGGGTTAAGAGGCACACAAGTTCCTCCGTATTCTAACAACTTTCATTTTCCACTATAATCTACCTTGTCCATTATTACTATAGCATTTGCTTTGTCTGTTTCGTAAGGTGAAGTCCAGGATCTTTAATTAATTCATGGTATAACTTAACAAATCTTCGAGGATACAATTATTCTCAAAGATTTGTTAAGTTATACCATAAATTAAGTAAAGATCCTGGACTTCACCTTACGAAACAGACAAAGCAAATGCTATAGTAATTATGGACAAGGTAGATTATAGTGGAAAAATGAACATGTTATTAAAAGACGGGGGAACTTACGTGCTTCTTAAGTTTCCGTCCATTCTTCTGTTTATTCACTGACAGTCGTTAGCGTAACGAACATTAATCACTGGGTACGAAAACACCCACTTGGTGACATGAGAGAAAAAATAAAAAAACTCTGAGGTCCTCTTCAGCAGATAAACCCTTGAGAACAAATTCAAGGAAAGAGATCGCATCCATTTCCTTGAAGCAAGAGCCCTTCACGGGCGTCATGGAACTTCCCCTGAGGGGGCACTAAGGCACTAATGAGTTAAATATACAAGTCAATCTTCCTCTCTCATATATTATCTACTGAAGAAGACTTGTTATCACTGGAAATACACAGCCTCCTAGTCAGGTCATGGTGTTGTGTTCACCCTATTTTAGCCCTTACTGATTACAAGGCATCGTAAACCAGGTCATTAACTTGTACACAGCTTCACTGATCGCTACTGACTGGTCTTCCTCAAGCCTTGATGCCGCACTTGTCCTCCCTTGGATCGAGTCAGAGTTCCTCCCAATCTCCAGTCTTCATTTGACCCCTGTTGGGTTAGCGCTTCACCCTGACATACAGGCAACTATAAATAGGAAGTGTGCCTGTCTAGCGCTTAGCAGACGAAGGAGTCTATCACATCTTACGCTGAATGACCCACATGGGTTTAGCGTTTAATATGAATTAAACAATTAAACATTAAAACAGCTTCACCCTAATTTAAATAATTTTATGGTCTTGTTCACTTGCCTAAAACTGGTTAATAATAAGCAAATATATTTGTTATATATATATATATATATATATATTATATATATATATATTATAATATATATATATATATATATATATATATATATATATATATATATTATAAATATTTTCATTTTTCTTGGTACAAAAAATATATATGAATTGACATTCAGTCATAGTTTACTGATTGTGCTATTGGGTATCTTCTTGAGCTTGTCGACGCACTTGCTCATCCAGTCACGCACTCGTGCTAGTCGCTGTGGGAAGTGCGTCACGAAGAGTTCGTTCTTGAGCGGGTCCGGCAGCTTGCCGAAGAGGGGTTCGTTGGTCTTAGCGAACCCGACCAGGAGACGCGCTGGTTGTGGGTGTTGGGCCAGTCCCAGGACCGCCTCCATGGTGGATCTCCTGAACACGCACAGAGACGCCAGCATGCGCTCGTGGAAGGCATGGAAGCGGGAGGACTGTGCCGGGTCGGCGGCACCATAGAGAAGGGTGTACGCATCCATGAGTCCGGACTCGTTGTCCAGGAGCCAGAGAGCGTCCGTTGTCTCGCTCCGGACCTGACATGGGTGGAGACAATATATGGGTGAGGTGAGTGACTTCAAAAATGGAAGAAAGCTTTAAAAAATGGTGGATAACTTTAAAAATGGTGGTTACCTTTAAAAATGGTAAATGCTTTAAAAAGGTAGATATATAAAAAATGGTAGATATCTCTGAAAATAGTTGAGAGCTTAAAAATGGTGGATAAATTTAAAAATAGTGAATAGCTTTAACAATAGTGGGCGGCGATAAAAATGAGTGAGAATGACTGGGTTAGAGAACGAACTACCTGTGTGACTTTATTCCTTTGCTCGACCGGATCCTCCACCTCCCCAACCTAAATTACTGAGAGAACTTGAAGTCTCTATAACGGTACTCCTTAGAACGTAGGTGTGAATGATACATCATAATCTACACCTGGAAGATACTGGAGAGATTGGTGCCAAACCTGCACACCGAAATTACTACTTATGAACACAAGAGGCTTGGAAGAGGGTGCGGGATACTTCCAGTGAAAAGCAGGGGAGCGACGAGCAGATTGAGAGAGAACTCAGTAATCATTCAGGAACCTCAACTCTTCATCACCTTCTCTCATGCATAAGACGGATTACCAACAAACCCATAGCTGTCTTTAAGAGGGAACTCTACAGAATCCTCAAAATAGTTCTGGATCAGCCGAGTTCTGCTACATACGGTGGAGTGTAAACAGGAGGCCTTGTCTGGGATAGGGCCGCGGGGGAGGTGACCTCCGTAAGCGATTCCAGGTAAACCTAATGGACTTCTTTCTTTCAATGGAGGGACGGTCACCTGCATTCAGCATTGCCAGCGATAGTAGCAACAGCGACCCCTGGCTTGATTGTAGCGTGAACCTGCCTTTATCGATCTGCTTGGTGTGTGTGTGTGTGTGTGTGTGTGTGTGTGTGTGTGTGTGTGTGTGTGTGTGTGTGTGTGTGTGTGTGTGTGTGTGTGTGGTGTGTGTGTGAGTGTGTGTGTGGTGTACGTACTCGCCTAGTTGAGGTTGCAGGGATCGAGTCCATGCTCCTGGCCCCGTGTGTGTGTGTGTGTGTGTGTGTGTGTGCGTGTGTGTGTGTGTGTGTGTGTGTGTGTGTGTGTGTGTGTGTGTGTGTGTGTGTGTGTGTGTGTGTGTGTGTGTGTGTGTGTGTGTTTTAGTTACGATTGTGTCCTAGGCACATGTCGATTAGACACTAGGCCTGTTGTATATGCATGTGTGTGCGTGTGAGAGTGTGTGTGTTGTACTCACCTATTTGTGGTTGCAGGGGTCGAGTCACAGCTCCTGGCCCCGCCTCTTCGCTGATTGCTACTAGGTCCTCTCTCTCCCTGCCCCATGAGCTCTATCATACCTCGCCTTAAAACTATGTATGGTTCCTGCCTCCACCACATCACTTTCTAGGCTATTCCATGGCCTGACTACTCTATGACTGAAGAAATACTTCCTAACATCCCTTTGATTCATCTGAGTCTTCAACTTCCAATTGTGACCTCTTGTGTCTGTGTCCCATCTCTGGAACATCCCGTCTTTGTCCACCTCGTCTATTCCGCACAGTATTTTATATGTCGTTATCATGTCTCCCTGACCCTCCTGGCCTCCAGTGTCGTCAGGCCGATTTCCCTCAACCTTTCTTCATAGGACAATCCCCGTAGCTCTGGGACTAGTCTTGTTGCAAACCTTTGCACTTTCTCTAATTTCTTGACGTGCTTGACTAGGTGTGGATTCCAAACTGGTGCTGCATACTCCAGTATGGGCCTGACGTAGATGGTGTACAGAGTCTTAAACGAATCCTTACTGAGGTATCGGAACGCTATCCGTAGGTTTGCCAGGCGCCCATATGCTGCAGCAGTTATCTGATTGATGTGCGCCTCAGGAGATATGCTCGGTGTTATACTCACCCCCAGATCTTTTTCCTTGAGTGAGGTTTGCAGTCTTTGGCCATCTAAACTATATTGTGTCTGCGGTCTTCTTTGCCCTTCCCCAATCTTCATGACTTTGCATTTGGCAGGGTTAAATTCAAGGAGCCAGTTGCTGGACCAGGCTTGTAGATTGTCCAGATCTCTTTGTAGTCCTGCCTGATCCTCGTCCGATTCGATTCTTCTCATTAACTTCACATCGTCTGCAAACAAGGACACTTCTGAGTCTATCCCTTCCGTTATGTCGTTCACATATAATAAGAACAGCACAGGTCCTAGGACTGACCCCTGTGGAACCCCGCTTGTCACAGGCGCCCACTCTGACACCTCGTCGCGTACCATGACTCGTTGTTGCCTCCCTGTCAGATATTCTCTGATCCATTGCAGTGCCTTTCCTGTTATGTGTGCCTGGTCCTCTAGCTTTGCAGGGTGTGTGTGTGTGTGTGTGTGTGTGTGTGTGTGTGTGTGTGTGTGTGTGTGTGTGTGTGTGTGTGTGTGTGTGTGTGTGTGTGTGTGTGTGTGGTGTGTGTGTGTGTGAGTGTGTGTGTGTGTACGTACTCGCCTAGTTGAGGTTGCAGGGATCGAGTCCAAGCT